CCGCTGACTCCCCGCGCTGTGCCCCAGGTCCCCGCCGCTCCTGGGCCTGCTGCCCGGCAGGTTCTCCGTCTTCCCGCTCTTCTTCCTGGCGCTGCTCCTGGGCTTCGCCTCGCTGCTCTGGCTCCAGCTCAGCTGCTCGGGCGAGGGGCCGGTGGGCGGTGGGCAGAGTCAGGGGGCTCCTCACCAGCCCTGCCCGCCCCAGGCCCCCCTCCTGCCGGTGGAGGATGAACCGTCGTGGGGTCCCCACCGCCTGGCGCTGCTTGTCCCCTTCCGGGAGCGCTTCGAGGAGCTGCTGGCCTTCGTGCCCTACATGCACCGCTTCCTGAGCAAGAAGAGGATCCGCCATCACATCTTCGTCCTCAACCAGGTGGATCATTTCAGGTAGTGTCTTCCTTGGCCGCAGTGAAACCCGGCAGAAAAAAGAGAGCGAGGGGGCCCTGTTCCAAAACTTCGTCCCTGCTGAGAGGGTCTCCTACTTGCCTCTGGTGGCATGGAGAAGCATAGGGCCTGGACAACAGGGAGTCAGGGCTGGGGCATGATGCTCTGCCCAGATTTACTCACTCTAGAGCTTATAGAAGGGCAAAGGAGTATTTTGCTTCTCTCTTCCTAAGCAAGAAGAGAGTTATCTACCCCCAGATATTTCAGCTTTCTCCCCAGTGTCGCAGGTCTATAGCACCAAACATCTTGGGACGCTGAAATTCAAGGAAGTACCGTGGGGTGCTTGGAAATACAGTCACTCGCCCCCTGCTCGCTGTCCAGTACCTGCCTGCAGCCCCAGTGGGTGCTGTGGAGCTGCCCAGCCGGCCTCGGGCAGGATGGGGCTTGTTGTAGCTCCTTGGGGTTTGCAGTGACCAAACCCCTGCATGTCGCTGTCGGGCTCGGCGTGTGCTGCCTGCGTAGGGAGGAGCAGGGATGCAGTTTCAGGATGGGCAGCCATGGCACCCAGCACTGTGGAGGGTGGGAATGCCATGTTTGTGCGTGCCCCTGTTTGGGGACCAGTTGAATGTTTAGCGTTGAGGAGCACGGGAGAGGGACGCAAAGGGACGGTGGGTGCTGTGCGTGGCGCTGAGAGCCCCCGGTCCCGCGGCAGGTTTAACAGGGCATCCCTGATCAACGTGGGCTTCCTGGAGAGCGGCAACGACACCGACTATATCGCGATGCACGACGTCGATCTCCTGCCCCTCAACGAGCAGCTGGACTACAGCTTCCCGGAGGCAGGGCCCTTCCACGTGGCATCCCCGGAGCTGCACCCGCTCTACCACTATAAGACCTACGTGGGTGGCATCCTGCTGCTCACCAAGCAGCACTACGAGATGGTGAGCGCATGGGTGGGATGTCCCAGCCAGTTTGGGGCAGGGGCTCCAGCATTGCCTCGGTGAACGGTCGTACATTTTGTACTCCGTGCTTGGGAAGGGGGGAAGAGAGTCAGAACGGTTTGGGGACCAAGCCTATGATGTGAGCTGGTGGGAGGCAGGAGAGGGGAGGCTGCGCTGGCGCTCAGGCCTTGTGATGCTGGTGTCTGCTCCTCTGTGGAGCATGGAGTTGTGCTGGACCAGACCTCGGCCAGTATGGTACCCCTCTTGTTCCAGTGCAACGGCATGTCCAACCGCTTCTGGGGCTGGGGACGGGAGGACGACGAGTTTTATCGACGCATCAAAGGAGCCGGTCTCCAGGTAAGGGGTATTCCATGGCCTCCTGGGTTGAAATTGCCCTTCTTGTCTCCCCACCTGACCCCCAGCTGTAGCCACCCAGGTTGGGACCTGGGGAAGGCAGCCCTTCTGTGCTCTCCACTCCAGTAGCCGGCGCAGCAAGTTTTCCAGTAGCTTTACAGAAGCTTTCCTCTCCTTCCAGGTTCGCCGTCCCTCTGGAATCACGACTGGATATGAGACTTTCCAGCACCTGCATGACCCAGCCTGGAGGAAGAGAGACCAGAAGCGCATTGCTGCGCAGAAGCAGGTGAGACCTCAGTGTGATCAAGGGGAACCACGGGAGATTCGGGTTGTGATCACCACGTGCTTTAAGCCCTCCTTGCTCCTGTCCTCCCCTGCCAGCTCTGTGCTCCCTCCCTTCGCACTGGGTGCTTCCCCCTCTGCTGGAAGCCAGCACTGGCTGAATGGTCTTTTCTTCTTCAGGAACAGTTTAAGGTGGACCGGGAAGGAGGTTTAAACAATGTGAGGTACCGAATTGAGTCACGGACAGCTCTGAGTGTGGCAGGAGCCCCTTGCACCGTCCTTAATATCTTGCTGGACTGTGACACAAGCGAGACCCCTTGGTGCACGTTTGGCTGAGCCTGTCTCCTGTGTGCCAGTCGTGTGCGCTGTGCTGGTGCCAAGATGCCGGGGCTGCCGCCAAGCTGCTGGAAGCAGGCAGGGTTTTTGCAGCGGACAAGCATGGCAGTGCTGGTGAGACACAGAGGAACAGAAAAGCCTGAGAACCGGGCTTTGCTGGGACCAACAGAAGAGGCTGAGAGCGGGACTCGGCGGTGTCGCTGCGGACACTGGTGCTGCCTCCCAGGCAGGTGCAGGAGACAGTTTTCCTGTGCTGGACATGGCTGAGCTGCCACTCAGCTCAGAGGACAATAAAGAACTATCAGGGCACCTGTGAGTTGTGAATGCCCTGGGCCGTGCTGCACCACTCCTTTTTCCTGCTCCCTTCACCTCGCTGGCTTCAATGCACCTCTTTCTGGCATGGCCCTGGCTACACTCTGTCTGGACAGGCGATCTGCTCTGGTTTGGAGGCCAAGCGAGTCTGAAACAGGCTCCGAGTGAGATGGTGCCTGTGTTTCAGCTGCCAGGTACCCCCAGGGCTGTGCTGTGGTTGCTTCATTGCAGGAAGCGGTTGTGGTCACGCTGTGCCCCGAGCCCCAGCGTCCGCAGCTCTGCTGGATGTCAGCAGTTGAGGTAGCCCAGGACTTCTCTCTGTGGAGTAAGGAGGAGAGTTCTGGTTGAGCTGCTCCCTTCCTTGCCTGCCTTCTGTGGCACGTGCTGCCTCAGACTTTTTTGCGGGGTTGGAGAATCTGAAGTCCCCCTAGAAACGCTGAGGGGAATTGGGATCTGCTCTGGCCCTGTATGAGGCATCCTGGGAAGGCCTGGCTGCCAGGCTCACCGCAGTGCTGTCAGAGCTGGGGCAATGGTGTGGGTGACGTGCAGGAATTAGGATAGTCGCCCCTAACCTGCCTGAGTCGAGAGGAACAAGAGCTTCCCTGGGCGAGGCAGGGGCTGGGACACCCCTTGGAGGTGGGAACAGGGGGGTTGATGAGGGAGAGACAAGGCTGGGTCCCAGCCTGCAGCTCTCGCCTGCTCACTCTAGCTGCCTGGCCCTGCCTCGCTGCCGGGCCAGTTTCTCCCATGTCGTGGCAGGACAAGGGCCTGGGCTGCCCCTTCAAGCAGAGTAGGGGTGTATTTACCTGCTGAGAGTATCACAGTGCTGGTCCCCTACTACTGATGGGGCCTGCGAGAGCTCTGCTGTGGGCTCAAGACCCCCACTGTGGATGTCCGGGTGAGTGAATGGCTTGGTGAAGGTGCCCAGGCAAAGGGCTTTGTCAGCCTTGGGGTGCTGGTGAGCAGGACGTGACTGGGTATATGCACCCAGACCCAGGAGCCCAACCCGTGCGGGGAGTTGAGGACCTGCTGCTGTCAGAGCAAGAGCAGCCCACGGGAGGCAGCAGAAGCACTGATGCTGTGTGCTGGAAGAGCGCCTGGGACGGGGATGCGAAGAACCAGCAAGTCAACGTCCTTCTGGCTGCTGGGAATGTGCCTGGCTGCTCTATAGTGCTGGACGCGGGAGGTGGGGAAGCTGGGAAGGTCCCAGTGGGTGAGGGACGGGCACTGGGGGCTGCCAGTTGTTTGGGTTTGGTAGAAATCAGCCACACCAGCACCTTTTGCTGGGAAGTGGGATGTGTAGGTCTGGGCAGGGGGGCTGTACGCCCTGCTCGGAACCCAGCTCTCGAGCCCCAGGCGGGAGCAGTGGCTGTGGAGCAGCGCCTGGTCGGTGCCTGCTCGTGCTGGGAGTGAACAGGCGCAGTGACCTTTAGGACACTGCCAGTCACCCTGATCTGCTGAGGGGTGGCTGAAATGCCCACTGACTCTCAAAGGAGACCCCTGTCAGCATTGAGCTCCTCTCCTCCATCGCCAGTCTGGCCTGGCCTCCTGCTTGGGCTGCTGGGTGAACTGGTGCTGTGCAGCACCACAGCGAAGGGTGCTTGGGCTGGCTCACAGATGGTGCCGTGTGTGGGACTGCACCGTGCTGGCTCTGGGGTCTTGGCATGTGTTTTGGGTGCTGCTGCCTCCACAAGCTGGGCAGACCCAGCCGAGCAGTCCGTACCCCTCCATTCAGCCCTGTCACCAGTGCTGGCATCAGGCCCTCCGCATTTCCTGGCCCCCTTCTGTCCTCGTCCCCTCCTTGGCACTTCCCGGAGCGGTCGCTTTGCTGGGTGCCTGCAGACGTTGCCAGACAGAAGCTGTCGCCATCCCAGGAAGACAAGCGGTCCCAGGGACGTGGCACCTCCGGGGAGGGGCGCTGGGATGAGGGAGACAAAAGCATCAGAGCCAAGTGTGGCAGTCATGTACCGTGGAGGAGAAGTGGGAAGGGGCATCTGGAGAGATCCGGGGCCGTCTGCTCTCCGTGCTGCTCCAGAGTCTGGAGCCCTGCGGACTGGGGTGTGAGGCAGGCTGCCTCCCGAGCAGGAGGCTGAGGTGGCAGTGCAGGGTGGTGAGGATCAGGCTGCACTGCTTCGTTTGCATCATCCAAGGTGCAGGCAGGCCCAGCGTGTCCTCCTCCCCAGCTTGGGGCCTGTCCTCGCCCCAGGGCGACGTGGGGACGCGCTCCCCAAGAGCTCCCAACAGCCTCTCCAGCTCAGCGGCCCCGGAGCAACACTGGTATCTGGCAAGAAGATTACAGGTGGGCTTGGACACACGGTGCACCGCTCCAGAGGTGTTCCCAGGACCCATCATGTCCCTTGCTGTGGCTGGCCAGAGGGAGATGTTGGCCCAGCAGCCCCACTCCTGTCTCTCCATCACACAGGTTTTGGGATCGTCCACCTGTATGGCAGCCATTTACTGGTGCCTGAGCTGCAGCCAGGGCTAATGAAGGCAGATCAAAGTATTTCTCTGTGCTGTTCAAAATAGATGACACAGTTTTGGGCAGGTTTTATGAAGCTGTAGATGTTCAGAAACAGAGCATATGTGCAACTCGCACTTCGCTCAGCGCTAAAGGCTCCTCTCCCGCTGCCTGGCAGCTATTTCGCAGCTCCGCTCGCAGCCCACTCATCCTCTGGTTGCTTTTGTGGAAGAGGCACCGTGCTGGAGACCCGGCTTCCTTTTATAGCCCTGAATGTGACTCGGAGGTCGCTCGGCTCTGTTCCGCCCCCCCACGCACTTTGTTATTAGCAATGGCCCAGCGGGAGGGGATGAGGCTTTTCCCCATTGCCTTTCTGCAGATGGATAACACCCTGCCTGCTGCCCCGGGAGCCCTGCAGAGCCGAGCTGGAGGCCTCCCAGTGTTCCCGTACTCTCAGCAACCCCGAGGAGGGGGTCAGGATGCTCAGGAGCAGAGAGAGCCCGTGGAGTCCCAGCCCTGCCCCTCTGTGACCCCCCTTCTGGGGCCCAAATTGCTGTCAGCAAGGCTGTGTGGGGGCTGCCATGGGCACAGCAGTTGGCTGACTTTTATTGCTGGGTTGTTTTAAACCAGGTGGTTCCCGGAGCAATTTGCTGGCGGCCACATGAAATTGCCGTAGTATCGTGATGAGGGGGGGACCAGGGAGATACAGTGAGTGGAGAGAGGGGGCTGGGGGAATGCTGACAGGAGGCAGAAGCTTATCTGCCGAGGGACCGGGGCATCCCTGGCCGCCAGTGTCCTAGGCAGGGCCGAGCCCCGGGAGACGTGCTTGGTGGAGACGTGGCAGCAGGAAACGGGGCAGACGGGAAGGAGGGGCGCGGCTGTGACCAGCACCCCTTGAAGTCAGCCCAGCATCACTGCAACCTGCCCGGACCAAGGCCCTGCCAGGACACAGTTACTGCCTGCCACTGTGGGCATATGCCTGTCCCCCCGGGCTGCTGGCGGTGCCCCGCTCATGGCTGAGCTCCCGGCAGAGGGCCGAGGCGTTGCAGAGGCATTCCGTGTGCCAGGAGGATAGGAAATGGCACCTTTGTGAAGGCCCCCTGTATTCAGAGGCCACGTGTGCTGCCTCTCCAGCGGGCAGTTGGGTGGTGAAAAGGAGCTGCGGGGAACGGGGAGGCCAGGTCGGAGGGAGCAGTTGCGTGCCTTGGCACCGCACCGAGGATAATGTGAGCATGTGAGCCTGGTGAGCAGGAACTGGGGACAGTGTGTGTGTGTGGGTGAGCACTGGCAGCAGAGCTTGAGGACTCTGGAGCGTGGCGGGGGGAGCTGGCAGCGAGCGGGGCCCTGGTGTGTGAGCACGCCGGATGCACGTGTCCGCGAACCCTGGCTGGGGATGGTGCAGGTGCGATCCCTCCTTGGGGAGAGACGGGCACCGCCGTGGGGATGGAGCAAGGCTGCTGCAGGCATCCCGCTTCCCGAAGAGGCCAGGATGCCCAGTGACCATATCTGCCCCGTGCTGGGATCCCTGCTCCCTGCGCCTGGCCCGCTGCAGGGGTGGTGATGAAACCGGCTCCCGGCCAGGATGTGGCAGGGATGATTAAGAGCGATGAAGTGTGTCATGTCTCACCGGTGACAG